ACACTGACAAACATGTGACTCGCACTGGAGCTCCTTGAGTATTTCAGCAATATTCTCATGCTGACATTATAAGCCACCGTTAGTTTTTTAATACTACTTTGCTTATACAGTATGTACACCACAGGTGGGTAGTGTACATTGATGTACAGTGCACATTAAAAAGTAAAATTTCCACTGGTATGGAGCATATACCCAACTTTGTCCCAAGTATATTTGCCTGGGCGTACAGCTTCCTCCGCTGTCGTAAAATATCCTTGTCATGAGATAAGTCATCATCAATAACATGGCCCAAATAAGTGACCTCACTGCACACATCAAGAGCAACGTTTAACAAGTAGAATCCAGGAAATGTTAGCAGAACCACTTTTATTATTAGCTGTCAGGGTCAGGTCTTGAGCAGACATCCCCTTCTCACTCATGGTTCACTCAAACTACTTTTCTTGAATATGCCACTTAGCACTCGTGGGTAACAGGAAGTAAACCCACTCTAGTAACTGCTACAACTGCAAGGGGCATGTGAGCACTGGGTTGGACCTTTCTTGGCTGTGCAGGCATCACAGCAGCGAACATAAGGTTCCACATCCTGGTGACAACCAGACCAGTAGAATCTGGCTCTGCAGCATTTTAGCCACCCTAAAGTGGCCTGCGCCCACCGAGCCGTGGACCATCCGGAGCACCTTGGGCCACAGGTATCGAGGAACCAGCAGCTGAAGGATGTCTAGCTGTGTGGCCGGTGCCTGCAGGAGGAACCTCCTCCCATAGAGGTAGTGGCGGAAATGTCAAACCTAGATAACAGAGAACAGTTCCCGCCGAGTGACACAATAGTTCCTTTCAGGTCGGCTGAGGGTGCGGCTATAATAGACAATTGCCCGCTCACCATCCTTCCCTTCCTGGGAAAGAACCACCCCAAGTCCTCTGTTACTGGCATCAGTGTCACAATGAAGGGCAAGTTTGGATCGGGGTAGTGCAACACTGGGGCCTCGACAAGTTTAGCCCTGAGTGTTGCAAATACAGCGGCACAGTCTACATCCCAGGGGAATGTCTGCCCTTTCCGAGTCAGTTCGTGCAGGGGGCTAGCGATGGTGACAAAGTCTTTAACAAACCTACGGTAGTAGGAGGCCGACCCCAGGAAGCTACGTAGCTCACCATCATCACGTGGCTCTGGCCAATCTCCCAGCGCCTTGACTTTGTCTGGGTCCGTCGATACTCCAGCCATGCTGATGATGTGGCCCAGGAATCTGGTCTCTGCGGATAGCCTCAAACACCTCCTTGAGGTTTGCAAGTGCAGCTGTAAAGTTGGGTGCATGTACCAGGAGATAGTCCAAGTAGATGACACAGCGGCTTCGTCAGCCTTTTCCATCAGGCGCTCGAATGTGGCTGGCGCATTGCAGAGACCAAATGGCATTTCCTTAAACTGCCATAGTCCCTGCCCGATGGTAAATGTGGTCTTAGGGTGGGCTTTTTGGGCCAGCTCCACTTGCCAGTAGCCACTGCGAAGGACCAGCGTGCTGAACCACTCTGACCCTGCAACACAGTCAGTGGTGTCATCAATACGTGGAAGAGGATAGGAGTCTTTCTAGGTGACATCATTTAGCCACTGATAATCCACATAGAACCTCCAGCCTTTGTCCTTATTTCCCACCAGGACCACCAGTGCTGCCCAGGGGCTGTTTGATGGCTCTATCACATCAGTCTCCAGCATCTCTTTAATCTTCTTTTCCGTCGCAGCCCGCCTTGACAAAGGCAAATGACAGGGACGCAGGCGGATGGGTACTGCCCCACCAGTGTCGATGTTATGCTGTCATGTTGTGGTTAATGTGCTTCACCCAGGACATGAAGAACCACACGAGAAGAGGTAAATAAAAATACAAGTGTTTTATTTTAAAGGAGAAAAGAAAACTAGAACTAAGGGCGCTGCTTCTGAAAACAGTGTTGTGATTATTGGGCACGAATAATTTGTAAGCTTTTACTTACTTTTTGGATTCATCAAGAAATTCGTAAATATGGAAATATTTACCGACTTATTAATTAGGATATTAGAATATCCACGGGGCACCACCCCTTTTTTAACAGGGGAACAATGAATCCACACCTCTTATTAATCTAGTCTAAACTTTCCGTGAGATCTCAACGAGCTGCCGTTAATTTCATTTCACACTAACAAATTCACTTGAAACAAAACTGAATTGGCAATACATTTATTAACTAATATATTCACTTCAGCTCCTTCTGAAGCGTTAAATCAATATCAACCAACCTATTTTATCAACAACAATTAAACAAGTCATGAACAATGAAATGATAATGTAAAATAATCTGAGGTGGTGAAATCTCATGATGGAGGTATTTGGAACAAGATGGCTGACTCCCTTTTGTTTGAGGGAGCAAGGTGTGTGTGTGTGTGTGTGTGTGTGTGTGTGTGTGTGTGTGTGTGTGTAAGCTGAGATGATGTGAAGATGGCTGGTGGCTGGAGCAAATCAGACCAGCCTGTGTGGGGAGGGGTGTGTTTAGCGCAGACCCTCAGTGATGTGTATGTGTGTCTGTATTTCCTCTCAGATACAGGCACAAAGGTTTAGCTTTCCTTTAACTCAATCACAGTAAACTTAAAAACTTCAGAACCGCTTCACAAAGGTCAATAAACAAAATAGATCAATCATAAATGAGATACCTAATAGTTTGTCAGCCTGGCCACAGCATAAAACTTTAGATATTACACTGAAAGAAAAGACCTTACTTCAAGATGATCCGATGGCGTTTTTGGTACGAGAAATAGAGAAAGCCGTTGGTACATTAAAGCAATTTGAGTGGTGTGATTGCTTATTCTGGACTTACTAGAGAGAACGGAAGAGAAAGTGAGAGAGAAAAAAACTTTGAACAAACGAAACAGCGAGGCGTCCCTCAGATGTTCAATCGGCGTTCTCCGTTGATTTGATGGTTTTCCGCGGCTCACTCCGTCCAATTCAGCCGCCAGGCCTCGTGCACACTTTGTCCGGAGATAGCAAATGGGTGCGTCTTTCAACGCCAGTTGAACTGGACAAAAGACCATAAGTTTTGTTTTTCGCTGGGATTTATAGCTTTTCACTGTCTGGCGGGCTGACTCTGTGTGGGTCAGCACATGCGCAGAAACCTGTGCTCCGCTTTGGTGACGTCATCACGCTGCTTCCGGGTGCAAAGGCTAATGGGAAATGAAGTTGTTGCTGGCGCTGACTTTTAATATCTGCTTTTCAGAGCGCAGATGACACAGTCTTTTGGAGAAATTACTGCATAGTAATTTCCTCATGAGGGCAGACCCTCAACAACAGGAACAGGATGGAACTGGAATCCATGAAGACAAAAAAGGTGAGCGAGGCCAGAACCAGAAAACCAGGAGAATATGAATCCATATCTGAAAGTTCTTACGGTCTGAAGCCAGGATTTGAGTGGAGGCGAACTGGGAGAGGCTGGAACGGGTGAGGTGGTTCTGAGCGTGGGCAGGCAGGCAGGTGTGGAGAAAGGAGGCCAGAGGATCCTTGAATGGCAGGACGTGAGACAACTCCAGGCAAGGTAGGTGGTGCAGAACAGGATACTAGGACAGGATACACAAAAATCATTAGACCAGGATCACGGGAACCAAAGACAGATTCTAGGCTAGATGCTACCCATATGAGAGCATCAACCGGCACTGGGGTTGAGTCACACCACTCCTTAAATCCACTGAACCTCCGATTAGTGGAAACTCCCAACAGCTGTGACGGATGCCACACCCACCTGTAAACACAGAGCTGACACACCTCACCAGTAGGTGGAGGCAAACCGTGACACATGCTGGACCAGGCTGGTGCGGGAACACTCCTCATTCCTGGCAGCAAAAATATCCATAAAGTCCTCCAGCAGACCTTGAAGTGGTTCACTCTGCTCCTTGCTTAGTCCTTTGCAGCTGCATTGGAACAGTTCTTGAACAGTCTGTTCAGTCTCCCTGAAAGGCAGACCAGTGTTTGGCAGGGTGCCACTTCAGTGCGGTAGTACCTGGTTGGGGGCCTCCATCCCTGCCAGTGCCCTCGCCTCCTGGCCTTCCTCCCTACCATGATAGTGGAGCAGAATGGTTCTTTGGGCCATTGAGAGCGTAGCTGCATGTTACAAACCCTGATGATAAGTGTTGTGGTAGAGGGGTAACGCAAGAACTGGTGTGGAGAAAGGAGGAGCATAAATAAAATGTATTTTATTAACAAAGGGGTTAACACAAATACTCAGTCCTTGACCGGAATAAAATGACTAAATGAAAATGCACTCTAATCTAACTAAACGAAGGTGACGGAGAAAACTCAAAACACCTGAGGCAAAAGGCCTCAGGGAAGAAAACACAAGAATGTCTTTATTAAACGAAAATGCCAGAGCTAAATAACTAAAACAAATCTCGATGGCTATAATCATCCTAAATATATTCTGTCTAACAAAACTAAAGCGAGCTCTAGGGCTGAAAAAGGAAACTGAAATTCAAGCTCTAGAGCAGATGAAAAGGATCACTAAATGAAAAACGGCTATTAATTACCAAAGGATTTAACAAAAGAGCTTTCTATCCTAAACACTGAATTTACCAAAGTTCTTATCCAAATTTATCAACACGCGAAACCATTTACTACCAAATGATCCCAGGACAGAGGAGAGAAGAACAGGTGTTTAGGCTGTGGTTCTCTCCCAGAGAACTGAAAGCTGCAGTCCTTTAACCCATCAGTCCTCATTAGCTGATGGCTTGCAGCTGGGACACTGAAGGCAGGCAGAGGTGGAGGCCAGCCTGACGGAGGACCTGTCCAAGGTCCTGAACGGCATGGAGGGAGCAGAACTGGGCCATTCAAGATGTGGGAGCCCAGTATTCGTAACAGCCCCCTCCTCAAGAAAAAAAAGGAGAAAACAGTTAAAACCTCATACATTCAAAACTGATTTCTATTCTTTTTGTTGTTCAACACTAAACAACGGAATCCATGTCAACATGAGGGCTCCTGCTTACTACATAACAGGGAGCTTACTAAGTCATCCCTGGTCTTCATGCGGACCTAGAGGCGGGCGGATTAAACAGAAATTATCAGCTGGTGCTGATCCCTAGCACTACTGAGTGTTCCAGAGATGTCTGGAAGAACCAGACAACACTAACCTCCTTGCCGCAACACTATAAAAAACAACAAACAGACTCGTCCTAAAGAGGGGGAGTCTCTACAGCCTACCAGGGAGACCCTCAAGGGATTCCAAGATCCGAACATCCACTCAACAGTCCATCTGCAAGGATGTTATCTGCACCACTTTTGTGGTGGATTTCGATGGGAAACTCCTGGAGAAGCAGGGCCCATCGCATCAGTCTCTGGTTGTGATTAAACATGCGCTGGAGAAAAACTAAGGGGTTATGGTCAGTGTAAACGATGGTGGGGGAGGAAGAAGAGCCAACATAAACATGTTACATGTTGTAATGCTAAAATGAGGGCCAGAGTCTCCTTCTCGATCGTGGAGTAGTTCATCTGTTATTTGTTGAACTTCCTAGAGAAATACCCCACGGTGTGGTCAATCCCATCCTGGTCCTTCTGTAGTAGCACACCACCAGCCCCCACAGCGCTAGCATCTACCTCCAGCTTAAATGGCTTAGCCAGGTCCGGAGCTGCAAGGATAGGAGCACAACACATGAGATTCCTCATATCCTCAAAGGCTAGCTGACTTTCAGGAGTCCACAGGAACTTAGTCTTAGTGCTCAGTAAATCAGTCAGAGGTTTGGCTACAGTAGAGAAGTTCCTGCAGAACCCTCGGTAATAACCAACCATTCCTAGGAAACGTAGTTCTCTTCGTGTCGAAGGAACAGGGAAAGATGATGTTAGGTAATTTTATTTCCCATCCAGGTTACCTTAGGGAAAGTTCAACACACAGGGGTTATATTAATAAGCCAATCAATTAACCCATACCAATACTTGACCAACAATAAACAATTTACACTTTGTAAAGTGGAGAGAGATCAATGATACACACGAGTCGGTAGTCAATTCGCTCTCATCAGACAGAACCCTCAGAAAGCATTTATTAAGGACACACAAAATGGTAAACGCACACACATTTACACACATGGAGAGGTTCTCAGAGCCTCTCAGGGAGGAAGGCACACCAGGTGCAGGTTTTACAACAACAGAGCTGTCTGGCCCATAACCCAGAGTACTACTGATAAGTTATGGTACTGAGTGCAAGGTCAGCCCTCCCTGTTGGAGGAATAGAAGTGGATAAACAATGAACCTTCGTTTAACCTCCAGATGTCAAACCATTAAAGACATTATTAACAGTAAAATATCAGTTTTTTCCCAACAGATGACATAGCACGCATTTTGTCTTGTAATACTTTAACCTGACCATGACCTACCTCCTTCCCCAAATAGTTTACTGTTGCCTTGACGAACTCACATTTCACCAGATTTAGTGTGAGTTGTGCTTGTTCTAGTCGGTCAAATACCTCACGTAGTGTACTCGGACGCTCGGGCCAGGTGGAAGTGTATATGATGTTGTCATCTAAGTAGGCGCTACAATGAGGAAGATCAGACAACACAGAGTTAATGAGTCACTGAAATGTGGCGGGGCATTTCTCATGACAAACGGGAGAACAGTGTAATGGAGAAAGTTATCAGGAGTCACAAACGCAGAGATCTCAGACGCTCGAGAAGTTAAAGGCACTTGCCAATAACCTTTTAAAAGGTCCAACCGAGAAACGAAAGTTGCAGCACCTACGCTGTCCACACAGTCATCCACCCTGGGTAGGGGAAAAGAATCAGGCACCATTACCGCATTAACCTTACGAAAGTCAGTAACAAAACGAAAGGTGCTATCAGGCTTGTTCTCCAAAAGACAGGGAGAACTCCAAGGACTCTTACTGGCCACTGCCAACCCATTCTTAATTAAATAACCAGTTTCTTCATTTATTGCTCTTCTCTTGAGAGGCCTAGCTCTATAGGGGTGTTGTTTAATCGGACGTGGATCCACAAGCTCCACATCATGCACTGCCAGAGGGGTTCGGGAAGGTACGTCAGTGAAACGTTCGAGATGGTTAGTAACACGATTAGTCAGCTCTTCTCATATCAGAAGAGAAATGTTGGAGGGTTCATGGAAGCTCTTTAAGAGATTCAGAGTTTGACAGCCGTGGACTAATAGGCTGAACAGGACCCTGACTGGAGTCATCGGAAAGCTCAGGAGAGAAGGCCTCAGAGTGGACCACAGGTACACACACCACTGGATTGGTCTCCACTCTGTGCTTATAGAGTTTCAGCATGTTAACATGACATAGTTGAGTCTTGCGCCTCCTAAAGGGGGTTTTTATCACATAGTTGTGATCATTAACTTTAGTTAGGACCTTGAAGGGTCCCTCAAATCTGGGTGAGAGAGACGACACACACATGGGTTTCAGCATTACTACTAGGTCTCCCACAGCGAAGCTTCTAGGTTTTGCTTTTCTGTCATACTGTACTTTCATGTTACATTTAGCTTGGTGTAAATGCTCCTGTGCTATACGGTTGGCGTTTCTTAATCGGGCTTCAAACGAAGCAACATACCTATTAACTGTTTCACCCCCTCTGGGGGCAGACCAAAGAAACCGTTCTTTTAAGGCTTTAAGGGGCCCTCTGGGGGTGTGGCCAAAGACCAATTGTGAAGGACTGAACCCCAAGGACTCCTGAACCACATCATGGGCTGCAAAAAGAACAAAGGTAACTCCCTCGTCCCAAGTGCGATCAGTAGAAAGACAGTATTTCTTAAGTATTGACTTCAAAGTTTGGTGCCAACGTTCTAAAACACCTTGGCTTTCTGGATGATAGGCTGAAGACGTGACATGTCTAATGCCTAGATTCTCTGAACCTTTTTTAAAGAGCCGAGATCTAAAATTTGTGCCTTGGTCGGTTTGTAAAACCTTCAGAAGACCGTACACAGAGAAGTAACCAGTTAAGGCTTTTGTAACGACCTAGTGGTTATTGATGACAAGGGCGTGGCTTCTGGAAACCTGGTGGAGGAACACATGATCGTCAATAGAAACATTTTTCCCGATTTGGTAACAGGAAGTGGTCCCACACAATCAACCACTATATGCTCAAACAAAGTGGTAACCACAGGCACAAGAGATAGAGGTACAGGACGTATCTTCTGGTTAGGTTTTCCAACCATCTGACACACATGGAAACTCTTGCAGTATTCAGCTACTTGCTTTTTCATATCGGGCCAAATGAAATGTTGTATCAGTAAATTATACGTCTTGTTTATTCCTAAATGACCTGACCAGTCACTTTCATGGGCTAAAGAGATGACTTTACCTCTGAACGGAGTAGGCACAACGATCTGTTTAATCATTCCCCATTCTGCCCCTTGAGCAGAAGGCAGGGACCAACACCGGAACAATATTCCATTTTCTAATTGGTACTGACTCTGACCCGGCTGAATCTCAGCGATAGGGTCCACCTGTTCAAATAAATTCTTCAAACTTTCATCCTCCTTTTGGGCGGAGGAAAGGGTGTCCGAGAACGCGGGACAATCTCTGGAGTCAGACTTTTCTTGATTCACTCTATCATCAGAGTCGGGGCTCTCCTCTGCTATTTTTATCTCATAAAGGAGAGGTTGCAACAAAGTGTTTTCCAAGGTGATGGCTGAGTTATCAGGTCCTTTTTTCTGGGACCAGGTCACAACACACACTGGGAAAATAACAGGTTCGTGCAAAACAGGAACCTCTACAAGTTCTGGAGTAGGGATGACTTTTCCACCAGCTAAATCATTTCCCAGCAACACATCTATGCCTTTAATCGGCAGCTCCTCACAAAGGGCCACATGCACATCACCACTTATAACTGGACTATTTAGCTGAATCTTATGCACAGGGCTGGGTAGAGCTCCCAGCTCGATGCCTTTTAATAGCACAGAAAACTCTGCAGAACTAGCATCAGAGAAGAGCAACACTCTTTTACAGATGAGGGTCTGGGAAGCTCCAGTATCCCTCAGTATTTTTACTGACACTTTCTGATCCGGGACCTCAAGTAGAGAAACATGTCCCATAAAGGTGAAGGGTTCAAAGCATGAATCAGAAATGTCTTTCTCCCCAGTGTGACTGACTGGAAAGGAGGCAGGGGAACTTTTAACAAAAGCCACTTTTTTGTTTTTAGGACTGTTCCCATTTTTCTGTTTGAGTTGATAACACAAATCACATGCCCCTTTTTGTGACAATAAAAACACGCCCTTGTAACAAATTATATTCTCATGGCCTCAGACAAGAATCTTGTGTCTGTTCTAGCCTTGTTAGATCTCAGTGCTGCTTTTGATACAGTAGATCACAATGTTCTTTTACAAAGGCTTGAACATGTTGTAGGGATCAAAGGAACAGCGCTAGGCTGGTTTAAATTCTACCTGTCTGAGAGATTTCATTTTGTACATGTACATGACAAATCTTCTTCATACCCCAGGGTTACTTGTGGAGTACCACAGAGTTCAGTGCTTGGACCAATTCTTTTTACTATATATATGCTCCCAATGGTAAAATCATTAGACAGCATGGGATAAACTTTAACTGTTATGCTGATGATTCTCAGTTATATTTATCCATTTACCTTGATGAACCTAATCGGTTGGGTAGATTACAGGCTTGTCTTGAAAACATAAAAAATTGGATGACTCTAAACTTTTTGCTTTTAAATCAAGACAAGACTGAATCTATCATCTTTGGACCTGAAATTCATAAAAGGAAATTGCTTAGTCAATCACCTGACCTGAATGGCATTAAATTAGTCTCCGAGAACAAAGCAAGGCACCTTGGTGTTATCTTTGACCAGGACATGTCATTCAAATCCCACGTTAAACAGGTTTGTAGGATTTCCTTTTTCCACCTTCGGAATATTGCCAAGATTAGAAGCTGTCATGTTTTGAGGGATGAATCTAACCCAAGACATGCACAATCAACCACGAACACAGAATGATAGAAAAAATAAGATTCATTTTTGGACAAACGATAACCTACAGCACACTGAGAATTCCAGTGGTCAGGAGCTGAGGGATCACAGCACCTGGGTGGGAGAGCAGAATCAGGTGAGTCCTGGGAGGCAAGTCATTACAGGATGTTGCAGTGCAGAGACTTACTGATTGGAAGGGCCTTAAAGGCTGAGGGGGAGGTATCGAGCCGGGGTGGATTAGGGTTCCAGGAACGGAGAGGGAGCATGGCGAGAGAGCGGGTTGGTCAGGAGAGATGGAGGAACATGGCAGAGAGATTCCGGAGTCCTATGGAGTAGTGGATGGTGAATCCTTAAGTGCTGAGACCTGAGGCAAGTGAGCAAGATAAAAAAAAATCACACGAGATACAAAACACACGAATACCAAAAACCTGAGATCGAGACGAAAGGCTGGAAACTACCAAACAGTAGCAATCATCAGGCGTCAACCTGTGTTTGTCATGAGTCTGCTGTTTCTCCCTCTGAGTCTAATTGCAGGTGGGCGTGTCGGAGAGCCTCAGCTGCTGCTGATTTCCCATCAGCAAGGCAAGGGGATTTAAGGAGTGGCGTGTCCACACTCCAGCGCCGGTTGATACTCTCACCTGATACTTCCAGCCTTGTCCTGAAATTGTACAGTTTTTGCAATCTTGCTCTGCTTGTCCTGTTTAATTACCTGTCCTGCCTCCTCCAGTTCTACTACCAAGTCTCAGCCTGAGTTCTCTTCTGTCCTGGAGTGTGTACCTCAGCCTCGCCACTCATTCTCCCCTGGTCATCTGCTCTCCGCCGTTCACCTGCTCTGGATATTCGTCAACCACATCCATCCAGCTCAACCTAATTCTCCATCGACCAGACCTGACCTACCCTCTCCTCAGATTCATCCACTGTTCTGTCTCCGTAAGACCTCCCTTCCCTCTATTGTTTCTGGCTGTCTCGTTCCTGGTTTAACCTCCGTGTGTTTGTTTTTATTTTTAGACCCCGACCCGGTTTCCGCTTCGTCTAAGTTCGCCCTTAGTTCCCGTTGGCTTTTCCAGCACCCGTTTGGAGCTGCGTCCTTCGTTATTATTATTTTTTCATTTAATAAAATCAAATTCATATTTTCTTACCTCCTGCCTTGTGGTGATTCTTTCATGTGGGTCAGGAAGCTTCCTGCAATCATGACAGAGTTCTCCATCCACCTTAAGTAACAGACCTGCTGATTGCTGATCAGGTACAGCTGGAGCCTCACCTTCTCCCTCTCCTGGAAAACACACACTCACAGATAGTTTAATGAGAGGAGTACTCACCCCGGCTCAAGACGGAGACATCCTTTCCAGGAGTGATGCTGAAAAGCTAGTTCATGCATTTATTACATCAAGGCTGGATTACTGTAATTCATTACTCTCTGGAAGTCCACAGAATGTAGTTAAACGTTTTCAGCTTGTCCAAAATGCTGCAGCTAGAGTTCTGATGAGAATTAAAAAGAGAGATCCTATCTCTCCAGTCTTAGCTTCCCTACATTGGCTACCTGTCAAATTCAGAATATATTTTAAGATCCTTCTTCTCACATATAAAGCTCTAAATAATCAAGCTCCATCATACATCAGTGATCAGTCACCTGATTGTTCCACATGTTCCTAACCGAGCACTTCACTCTCAGACTGCAGGTTTACTGGTGCTTATGTGTATGACACAATGAGCCAGATGTCACAAAATGTGCACTGAACAAATTTAGCATTTCCGATTTATCACTAATATTTTTGCCTTCCACCTGTATATGTGAAGGCAATTGAGTACAGTTCTTTGATGAGGATAGTGCTTTGATTTCTTTCCAAAACTTTTTAGGATTAGCTAAATTTTCAGTTAACTTGTTCAGATAGAAATTTGATTTTGTCTTTCGTAAGAGCAAAGTACATTTATTTCTAAATTGCTTAACTAGAAGCCAGTCCCTAGGGCATTTTGACTTCTGTGCCCTGTCCCATACCACATTTCGTTCCTAAAGCAACTCTGATAATTCATTTGTAAACCAGGGATTTTCACGACCCTTTACCCTAAATTTTTTGAAGGGGGCATTTTTATTCATAATATTAGTAAAGCTTTGGAGAAAATAATTCCAAGCTAGTTCCACATCCTGAAATAAAGCTATTCTATCCCAAGGGAAACAGTAAAGATCATACAAAAAAGCTTGCTCAGAAAATATCTACATATTGCGTTTAATTACCATGCGTGGTTTGCTTTTAGGAACTTTTGTGTCCCGTACGACTGCTATTGCACAATGGTCACTCATATCATTTGGAAAAATGCCAGTCGCTACAAATTTAAATGGCATATTTGTTAATGCAGCTAGATCAATGAGTGTTGATTTTTTAACAGATTTTGAGTTGATTCTCATGGGAAAGTCAATCAGCTGAGTAAGATTTAAAAGATGACATTGATTTTTCAGTGCATCAGAAGCAGATGTGAGCCAATCATAATTTAAGTCACCAACAATCAGTATTTCATTGTATTTTAACTGAGACAAAAAAATTATCAAAATATACAATGAATTATTAGAAGCCGATGGAAGTCTAGACTATAACTACCCTCCACCATGATGTGCTGATCTTTAGATATTTTGACATCAACGACTAGAAATTCCAGTTCCTTGCTCACAGATTTTGATAAAATTACATCAGTTGTAAAACAGTGCTTGATATACATCGCCACCCCTCCCCCTTTTTTCTCTCTATCCGCAAGAAAAACATTCTAACCATCAATATTGATGTCATTGAGTGTGTTTACATGCAGCCAGTAACCCTTTTAAAACCCGAATATTCACAATAACCCGGTTCCGCAGGTCCATGTAAAAACCACCAAAAACCCGGATATGCTCATAACTGGGTTTTTAAAAACCCGTTTACTACACCGGGGTAACTCTTTTCTAACCCGAATGTTTGGTCGTGTAAACGCATATTGGGATATCCCCATCAAAGCGTGTGTTCTGCGCATGCTCTGTTCGCAAGGAATCTTGGTCTTTTGAGTAGCGAGTCGTCTTGTATGCGCCAGAACACCGGAAGTAAACAACAAGTTGGGAGCAACATGGCGAGTCGCGGCACTGCACCACACTTTTGGAGTGCCGAGGAAACTAAAGCGCAAACAAACACGGACGCTGTCTCTTCCGAACTGGGAAACATGTTGTTGTTTTCACGGATACCGGAACAAGAAGAACCGGAAATGACGCATATTGCGTCTGGACGTAGTCCATACGTCCTGACACTACCCCAACGTCCGCATTTATATCGGGTTATGCAAGTTGGGGGTAACTCTTTCTATTTATGCTTGTAAACAGGTTATTCTGATCAACTCAGAAACCCGAATCCCGACCTTAACCCGATCATAACCCGGATATTGGCTGCATGTAAACGTATTCATTGTCATCATCATGTGCTTCCCGACAGGGACGTGGAAGGCGCTTTACTGTATAAATAAAGCTTTGATTGATTGATTGATCATCATCAACCTTTATTTATAAAGCACATTTAAACGGCGACAACGCCAACCAAAGTGCTGTACACGACAATACGTCACCAAACTAGATACAGCAACATAAAATAGATAAAACAAATAAAAACTACAGTAACAAAAAAAAAAAAACAGGAAAGCACAAGGGTTAAACAGTCTCAGCCGGGAAGGCCAGGGAATAAAAATAAGTCTTCAAACGTACTTTAAAAGTGGGAAGGGAGGGGGTAAGTCGGACCGTCAGGGGGAGTTGCTTCCAAAGTTTAGGCACACAAACTGAAAAAGCACGTTCGCCACAGGCCATATAGCGGGCAGGAACGGCAAGCAGAAGGTGGTGGTCAGAGGACCTCAGGGTTCGCGCCGGAACATAGGGACTCAAAAGATGTGCCAAATAAGAGGGGGCCATTTCATGAATAGATTGGTAAACCAACAGGAGAATTTTGAACTTAATACGAAACCGAACTGGAAGCCAGTGTAAATTTTCCAAAACAGGGGTGATATGCTTCTGTCGGTCTATGCCCGTAAGAAACCTTGCGACAGCATTCTGAACCAATTGGAGGCGTACCACTGAAGAGCAGGGAATACCGTGTAAGAGAGAGTTGGCATAGTTCAGACGTGACGTTACAAAAGCATGAACAACTGACTGAAGATCTTTTTTGTTCAGGACAGATTTTAGTTTGGCCAGCCGGCAAAGATGAAAGAAACACGACTTGACTACCTGATTTATCTGTGCATCCATTTTTAAAAAAGCGTCCAGAGTGACCCCCAAATTTGTAATTGTCGGCTTCACCAAATCCGACAATGGCGGGGGCAGAGATGGCTCCACAGCAGAGGGGGAGCATGGGGCAAAGAGAATAGCCTCCAGTTTGGAGCGGTTAAGATAGAGAAACTTAGCTGAGAGCCAGGACCTGACTTCACTCAGGCAGTCAGTCAGTGGTTGCACAGGGTCAGCAGATTTTAGGGCCATATAAAGCTGACAATCGTCAGCGTAGAGATGAAAATTTACCCGAAATTTTCTAAAAGTGGCTACCAAAGGTAAAATATATAGATTAAAAAGAAGTGGACCTAAAATGGACCCCTGGGGAACTCCACAAAAAAGAGGTGCCACTCTAGAGGCGCAATTCCCCAGGGCAACATTAAAACATCTGACATTGAAATAGGAGCAGAACCACTTTGTCTTTGATAGATTTTTTTAGCCGTGATTTTGATACCACTATGATATCTGCATTTGTTGAATTTATCCATATTGAGAGCATATCTAATTTAGGGAGAAGACTTCTCACATTAACATGAATAATACCAAGACCAGATCTGGAGTAAAAATCTGCTGGGGTAAGAGTTATTTTCTGGTCCTGGGTTTAATTCAACATCTCCAGAAAACAAGAGTAAACATATGATCAAAAACTTAGATTTTATGTTATTATGTCCTTCTGATACAGTTTGCTAGTTGCAGGGATATATGATCTGGTTTTCATGTAAGGTAAAATGTTCTCTTAATACATAAAGGCAGGAATAGTATGTAGTGTGGTTAACTACATACTAAATTAACGCTGTTTGCTATCAGCTTTTTTGGATTCTGAAGAAAAGATCGGACATTAGCATATGAACTTATATTATGCACAAATATCTAGGATATTAATTCAATCTATAGAAGTTCATACACTAACTGTGTTGGTCCATATTTTAATTCAAAGATGAATGTTTAATTTAAGATAATTAAATTTAATAGCAAAAGTTTATTTATTGAATCAGAAGTTAAAGGAATCTTTGCTTATTCAAAACCAAAATATACACCATTCTGTGTTTCATTTCAAAGAAGAGTCAGGTTTTTAAAAAGTTAAGAATTTATTACAAACACTTTAAAAAATGACAATTTGAAATGACAATTTAGAAATGACAATTTTTAACAGCTTGATATTAAAACTTGTTTTAAAAGTAAACCTGTGACTGAATGGAAACTAAAATGAAACGCGAGGTTTTGGATACGTGAATGAATCTCAGAAGGTTTCTTTCAGAGAGAGAAGCACGTTCTGGGTGGTGAAGTTGGTTTTGCAGCTAACTGAGTTGTTCTTAGAGAGAACAGCATACAGACGCCATTTGTCGAAAGTGTCTACCTCACCCAGTTCAGGAGACCCTCTTCTGGATCTGAGATGTCAGGTGGAGATGATGTCCTCCGGGCACGAGGTTGGTAGAAGGACCTTAGTGCGACCAAATCGGTCCTGAGATGTCTCCGTGGGTCACACGACTGATGAAACTAGTAGCATCTCAAAATCAATAACTCTGAAGGAGTTTTGCGTCAGCTGTTTACAGACGTTTATTCGGAGCAATTCTATCGGCGTGACAGAACAGCTTAGTGAGGCTTCGGGCGGCCGACCCTCGTCCTCTGGGATGACTCACGTCGCCACGAGAGTATCTGCTTGGTTCAAGAACTGGCTTTCAGTTGTGGGAGATTTGGTTTTAACAAAACCACAGAACACGCCCTCTCAGCGTCAGAAAGCTTGTTGTCATGAAGTAAAGACATGTGAGGTGGTTAAACTTTACCCTGGATACCCTCTGCATGAGGTGGTTAAAGTGCAAGCGACCTTCTGGTTTACTGAACACACATTACTTGATTATCATAATAATAATTATTATTATTACCCAAAGCATAATAAGTCATTTCAGTAATTAAAATACATTTATACTGAACCAAGATGATTAATTATGATGATTGTAATAAACAGTAATAAATTCAAAGAGTGTATTAATATTATTATTTAAAATTATTATTTTGGAATCTTGAAGTGTCCTTCATCTTTGGACGGAACAGAAGCAGATAAAGATGGTGTTTCAGCTAACATCACGGCTCCTGGCGGGTAATCTGTGGAGCAAAGTTACAACTCGACCCAGCTTGACCCAGCTGGGAAAATGTGACCTTTGTCACAGACTAGAGGCCATTCATGACGCTGCAAGTAGATGGATCCATTAACATCCAACAGCCATTTCAATATGTCTCTGGTTATTTGGGGATGTAGCAGAAGAATTTGCACAAGAGTTCCTTTACCACATAAGAAGGAACCCACTGACACATTGTCAAAAGCTGCAGACTCTTGTTCAAGGAATAGTCTTTGTAGGTTCAACTCTGATCCTGGTACTTCATCAAACAAGTGCGAGTTGCAGTCTCCAGCCAAAGATGTAAAGCAAAGAAACAAGACAAGGGAACTAATTTGCTTAAAGTTCCACATGTTTCAACAGTTGCAGTGCCCAAGGTAGCAGTAGAATATGAGAGCCAATTCCCCAATCCAAAGTGAGGATATTTTGATTTACTCCAGTACTTTCCCACAGAGCAAGTAACTTTTACGCAGAGTACAAGATAATCTTGCCTTAGCTGCAGTGATGCGTTAATGGGTCTGAAGAGCCAGGTTTCAAACTGTTTACAGAGCAGGGGGCTTCCAAGTAGCTACAGTATAGGCTTTAGTTAGCCAGAGCCAACACCATCCCAGCAAAATATAATTCCCTGTGGATTATTCCCCAACAGATCTTGCTCATGACTTCAAGTAAAGTGGGAAATAATGTTCCTTTCATTACAGAAATTCATAGTAGGTATTTCTCAAGTCCAAACCTTTGACAAGGCAGGTGACTTCCAGGTAGACTTAGGCCTCAGTTAGTCCATCCAATCCATCCAACATCATCCAGATCACATAGTTTCCTGTGGCCTCGTATTCAACAGATCTTGCTCCTAACAAATCTCAGATCTTTTCAGATCCAGATAATGTAGCAAAGTTGCAGAATAACATGGATAGGAGTCCATTCACTCAGACAACAAAACACTGCTCTGCTGCTGCAGCCACATTGGATTGAAATAAAATAAAATACAAAAATTAGTATTTTTAACTTTGTAATTTTTATTGTTGCTTTAAAGGAGACATAACATGCTTTTAAGTTATTCCTTTTTACATCTAAATCCTTCAGTTGGGGTCTAAAAACAGTGGAACTGCAGTTCTTTGGTCTGATTTCCTCATTATTGTTGCTCTACAGACCCTCATCTACCCCTGTTCTGAGGAGAGTCTTGAGAACGAGCCGTTTTTGGGTACTGTCTCTTTAAACTGGACGAGGAGCTGTAAACTCCGCCCCCCCTCCATAGTGCAGACCTGTACTCTCCTCCCCCAGTCGGACTTTGTAGTTCTATAGAGAAATCATTATTTAGCATAGCAGGTTTAGCGTAGCATATTAGCATTTTTAAAACATGTGGGGAGGGTAGTTCATCAAGCTGTTTCAAGGCTGCTAACTCTGTCATGCATTTGTCTGTAGTCACTCACACACACCCGTCACGGCCGACGGAGGGACAAGCTAGCAGGCACGTGCGCGCGCGCACACACACACACACACAAGGAATGCTGCTTGCTTATTTATTTCTATAAAAAATGTTTTAAAAAATGATACAGCTCATTAAAACACCATTAAAAGAATACATTTTATTAAGATCTCTATCTATATATATACATACATATAATTATAAATAATTTTATAAGTAGTCTTATTTTATATTGGGTGTCTTAATGGCTGAAAATGGATAAAAAGCAGTTACATTTTAATTTAAAGATTTGAGATTCGAGTCAAAAATAAAGAACATTCCTCCAAATGTTCTTTAATGTGATCATTATAATTCTAATGCTTACAACTTTGTTTTTATTGTCTGCAATGCGTAGCCTATATCTTTATTAAATGTGTTTAGCTGTAAAGTGGTAATTCTCTCTAATGTGTACAGAGAGGTGGACATCAGTGCTGCAGTGAAATTCCCAAGATCAGTCTGCTTTGCTAACAAATATAGTTAAATCTTACCTGCATTCTAAATAAATACCGTTAGGTGAAAACATCAGTAGGCATTGAGTTATTGATAAAATCCCTAACAGCCAGAATGGAAGAAGTGCATGCTGGGTCATCCTGGATCTGAGCCTGTTCTGTGTATTTACCTACAGGATGCAATAAATGTCTACAAGGCTGAGTTTGGACCATTACATCTAAAAGAAAACATACAATCAGTGATTTTTTTAATTGTTTACATTAATATACAAATTTTCTAAGTATTAACCTCACAGCAAATAAGTAGAACAATATAATAAACAGGCTTTAGTAGTTAAACAGGCGTTGTGCACACAGGTGCTTTGTGTCTCGGTGCTGGTGGTGTCTAGGTCTCAGAGTTCCTGTCCTCCTGCCGTCTTCTGTTGTCCTCAGGATACGGATTGATGTTTCCTGATGATGAGGGAGGGGCAGTATGTGGGCTTCAAACTGGTCCTGGATAACAGTGGGAGACCTCCGTTGTCTGAATACTGAGACCAGAGAGTTGGTGAGATGCAGATCTTCTCTACCTCATCTAGAAATGGAGTTGGTTCAGGGAAAACTTTTCCAAAGACCAGTTCCATGATGTCATCGTCATATTCTGCAATGATAGACAATAACTTTAATGACATATTTTGTTTACAAGCAGCTTTAGGAAAGTTGTTTCTTTAGCTTTCATGTTTATAGTCACGTTTGTGTTTGTTCACAAGTTCACTTTGCTGCAGTGACTTCATATTCTTACAAATGTAATAAAATAGTGACACTAAAATTATACAAATGATTCCTTATGAAAGGAAGCTCATTAGAGAGCAGTGCAGACAGACTTACTACTCTATTAAATCCACTGTGTTGACGCACTTTAATGACTTTGTCACGCTGCATTTTAGCTGATATGGGACTTTATTTACTGGATGCTAAGATTACATCACACTCACGTAGAATAACACACAGGCTCTCTGCTGTTACAATCAGTGGGAGGTTATCATCTGGTGTAAAAGAAGGCGTTGATCAGAAATCACGTTTTATTCCACGAAAATCAGCCAAATCCACATTAATCTGGGTGCTAACTTTACTAGCATACTGTGCTAGCGATAGCAAGCCGGATGCTAACGCTTTAGTGCTGCTAATGCCCGTACATCTAAAGTAAAGTTTGTCGACATTTTAGAGTGATATGAAGCTTACCGCTCTGCTGCTGTGTCCCGGTGCTGCCACATTCAGATAAAAATGACTCCTTTTAGATAGATGAAGCCCTCAGTACTTACTAGCCTGGAGACAGGAACGAACGAACCACGCGCACGCGCGCACACACACACACACACAAACACAAACACAAACACACTACTTTTTCTTCTGTGTTTTTTTAGCAGTAGTGTCATCAGCTCCTGGGTTTAAATACTGCCACACCACCCTTCCTTAAAACGAGGAACAGTTTTGAGCTGTGTGTGGCTAAAATAACCAGACATTCTGCATTTTTCCAATAGGACTACAAAAAATCTTAGCGAGAAGAAAAAATGGCGGATTGGCTCTGTGTTTAGCCAAGGGCCATTACCATATTTGGTAGTTATCCTGACTAAATTAATTACTGATGTAATAGATAATGTAAAAACTGAACGGGTGGACAAATATGCCCAAAACTTAATTATTAAATATCTAAATAGCAACTCCAGTGAATAATATAAGCCTTTTTGCTCACTTAGACACTTAAAATGTGAAACACACTGTGTTAATGGATAAAAAAGTGGGTTTTTCATGTTATGTCTCCTTTAATTCTTTGTAGCCTGTTTGTATGTATCTCAACTTTGTTTATGTGCAGCTCTTTGGAGCAACAGCTGTGCCACTTAAATGTACCATAGAAATAAATTAGACTTGATAGTGGTTTCATCGCTGACTTTATAAACATGAGATGCTTCAAATCTGTTCAGACATATAATTAGCCAACGGTGTTTTTTAATAGTGCCATTAGGCCAACTTCTGTCTGGGGCTTGTCAGCAGTGGCTGCATGAACTCCTTTTAACCAGCAGGTGGTGGTGTCTATAACCTGGTGAGAGAGATGTGGAGCAGCACGTTTCTGATCAATCTGCACCCAGAAGCTTTCTATGAATGAAATTTGTTTGTGAAATCGAAATATTGGGTTGGTTTTAGTCCACACATGCTCGCTCAGAGAACTGTTTTCATAGAAGAATGAACATTCTTTCCTTTTTGTAGCCTTTTATTACTGCCACCAAATAAACAAATGAATGAGGGGATCTATCTATCTATCTATCTATCTATCTATCTATCTATCTATCTATCTATCTATCTATCTATCTATCTATCTATCTATCCGTCCGTCCATCCGTCTATCCGTCCGTCTGTCCATCTATCTATCTATCTATCTATCTATCTATCTATCTATCTATCCGTCCATCTGTCTATCCGTCAGTCTGTCCATCTATCTATCTATCTATCTATCTATCTATCTATCTGTCCATCCAGCTGTCTATCCGTCCATCTGTCTATCCGTCAGTCTGTCCATCTATCTATCTATCTATCTATCTATCTATCTATCTATCTATCTATCTATCTATCTATCTATCTATCTATCTATCTATCTATCTATCTATCTATCTATCTATCTGTCCGTCCATCTATCTGTCCATCTATCCATCCATCCGTCCATCTGTCTGTCTCTCCGTCCATCTGTCTATCAGTCCATCTGTCCATCCATCCATCTGTCCATCCATCTATCCGTCCAACTTTCCATCGGTCTATCCGTCCATCCATCTGTCCATCTATCTGTCTATCCATTCATCCGTCTATCCGTCCATCCATCTGTCCATCTATCTGTCTATCCATTCATCCGTCTATCCGTCCATCCATCTGTCCGTCTATCTGTCTATCCATTCATCCGTCTATCCGTCCATCCATCTGTCTATCCATCCATCTGTCCATCCATCCGTCCGTCCATCTGTCCATCCATCCATCCATCCATCTATCTATCCATCCACCCATCCATCTCTCTATCCATCTATCCATCAGTCCATCCATCCACCCATCCATCTCTCTACCCCCCACCCCCCCCACCCCCAGCTCATGTCACGTTTGTCTTTGCAGCTAACGGACACTGATCCCACTGGACTATTACATAATAACACTTTTAGAATAAGGCCTACTCGTATGGGTCGGTACCAGCCCGGTTTGGCTCAGATTTCCTCTGCAGCTGGTTTAGTGATGATTGTGACATCACTAATTCACCTGGGCTCGTGGTTGTGAGGAAATACTGAATCATGGGAACCACAGTGATAATGCGCACTTCTCTGTCTCCACGGCAACCGTTTCTGTGGATGAAGTCATTTGTTACGCTCACCGTTGCTACGGTTACAACCTGGAGAGGGCGCTACGGAGGAGCGCTTTACGTCGAATGACGCAGGGCGGGGGCGTGCCCGCGCTGCGCGCTGCGCAGGGCTGCTTGTTGTTCCCGCAGAGAGGCGAGAAGATGGCGGCCGTGTCTAGCGGAGGTGCTGTGGGGTCCGCTGTGGCCCCGATTACGCACTCTGCTCGCCCGACCCACGCATCCATGGGCTCCCAGAACCGAGCCCAGCCATCCTCCGGGATCCACCACGCCAGTCGTACCGGCACGGCCAGCGGCTGCATCACCAACGCCGGCCAAACTTCGGCCCCCAGGCCCCCTCCGGCTCGGGTGGGCCACTACGAAATAGAGCGGACCATCGGCAAGGGGAATTTCGCGGTTGTTAAGCTAGCCACACACATCATCACTAAAGCGAAGGTAAGACGGGTCGTGTCCCGGCGGCGCTGGGGCTCGGCCACAGGCTGTCACTGGTTGGTTTGGGTGTTTTAAGCATGTAGAGAGGAGGACGGAGGGCCTCCGCAGACGCACCGTGAGCCGGGCTCCGTTCCACCTGGAACACCGCCTTCAGCAGCCCAGGACACGGATACAGCTCCGCCGTTGCTGGCTGGCTGGTTTGTTCAGCAAGCTGTGGAGGCCCGGCCTGTCCGAGCGGCAGAGGGCAGGCAGAAGGGTACCGACGGAGACCCAGCCTAGCTTCCAGGCTAACTAGCAGCTTGGGTTTGTGACGGGACACCTCTGGACACAGCTGGACCCACTCAGAATGATGTCCATGTTGTTTAGGCGGGTCGTGTTCCTCTGAGGGATACAGAGGGCCTGGCTGCCCCCAACCGGGTTGGCAGAGCTGCCCTCCGGCGTGTGGGGTGTTTAGATGTCGCTGTCAGTAGTTAGATGGCATTTTAATTACTTCTCCGTGACGTCACACTCGCGGGGTTTCCAGACCCTGACGTTGGGGTGAACCAGGGATGGACTGGGACGGAAGATCAACCCGGGCAAATTTAGAGCCGACACGGCCCCCAGCTATTACCGTAAAAACGATGTTTACACCAGCTCTCCAACCATGGTCCTAAATGTTCCTTATCATCGTGTTTTAGTTGTTTCCCTGCTCCTGGGCTTAACACAGCAACACAATACCAAAAAACATCAACAGAGCAGAACAGCTGCATGTTGTGAAGTAAAGAAAATATAACATTTACCAGAAAACACACACACACACACACACACATTAATAGAACAATCATAATTTAAACTCAGAAACCACAACTATGAAACAAATATTTATGTAATGTTTGAGTCTAATTAGTTTTTATCAGAATTATCTTAAAATAATCATCCAGCTGGATTATGTACTGAGTAAAATGAGTTGCTATGTGCAGGTTTTGAATTGAAATAAGTATTTATAAAAAGCAAACAGCAGGACACACACACACAGAGCAACAGGCTGTACTCACTATTCTAGGTTCTGCGTTTCTTCTAATGTACGGATGAAAGGGAAGTCCATTGTCCTCGTTCTGGTCTCACAGGGACATTTTCAGATGCATCTGACGGAGCAGGGCTAGACGAACCGAACCGGAACTGCTCAGAACCGCATCAGTAACTGGACTTGAGCACAACGGTTGTTTTAAAAAGATAATACGGCCACCTCTGCCTTTTATTGTCTGGTTTTGTTCTCCAAACATGGGCGCTAAACTAAAGGCTTGTCAGCTTCTCCACTAAAAAGTTAGCTTAACCAGAAGTTAGCTTGTGGGTGGTGACGTTTCTGATGAAACTGATTGGATGAATAGATTTCCCAGCATGCTTTGTTTTTGTAAATGTTGAAATAAAATAAATGAATTAAGATTAACTTTAGTGGCAACAACACAGTTATTAGATTAGTAAGAAATGAGAGTACTATGGCGTTTAAAGCGTGCCACAACCCGTGCACGCGCATTGGGTCCACAGCGCGCATGTGAACGGGACTCGCGAGCGCAAATATACATGGCGAGAGGTCATTTGTGCACTGAGAGGGAGCAAACTGTCTGTGAGCGCACAAGGATGTGCACAAGTGACAAACCTGCGTGCGCGCGTTGTCAACGAGCACACGGCAGAGGAAAACGTGCCCACGCGGCAGCCTCTGTGCGCGCTTGGCAGCCTCTCTGCGCGCTCGGTTTCTGACTCCTGCTCGCTCGGCTGTAAGGGCTTTTGGCACTCTGGAGGCGTGGTCTGTGGCAGATCTTCTCTGTCCTCTGATTGGTTAGTTTACCCCGCACTTTACCCTCTATTTATATAAAAAAGTCTGATATTCAGTAGTTGCTGGCATAGCTCAGCTGGGAGAGCGGGTGACTCTCGCCCCGGAGGATCCAGGTTCGGACATTTAATGACAGTTGAACGGTCACAACTGTAAAATAATATCACAGGAATTAGGAAAGAATAATATGACATCAACTCTATGTTACTTGGCCGGACTCGAACCTGGATCCTCCAGAGTGAGAGTCGCCCGCTCTCCCAGCTGAGCTATGCCAGCAACTGCTGAATATCAGATTTCTTTATATAGATAGCTAGAGAGTAAAGTGCGGGGTGAACTAACCAATCAGAGGATAGGGAAGATCTGCCACAGGCCACGCCTCCAGAGTGCCAAAACTCCTCACAGCCGAGCGAGCGGAATTAGAAACCGAGCGTGCAGAGGCTGCCGAGCGCGCAGAGAGGCTGCCGCGCGCGCACGTTTTCCTCTGCCGTGTGCTCGTTGGCAACGCGCGCACGCAGGTTTGTCACTTGTGCACATCCTTGTGCGCTCACAGACACAGTTTGCTCCCTCTCAGTGCACAAATGACCTCTCGCCATGTATATTTTCGCTCGCGAGTCCCGTTCACACGCGCGCTGTGGACCCAATGCGCGTGCACGGGTTGTGGCACGCTTTAAACGCGATAGAGTACTGAAGAAAATGACAGGGTGACCACAGCTGCACGTGGATGGAGAGCTGCACCATGACTGAGATGGAGCTGGCTGGGCTTGTAGAAGTAGCAAGCAGCTTCTGACATTTATATGACTAGAGAGCCACATTAGAAACGGTGTCTGTACAGGTCATGAGACAGGTGGAATATGTATTTGTACTCAGCCCACATATCTGACAGACCCACCGACATGACCAGTGCTGGCTGTCACTCACCAGTGATGACCATATGGCCGGCTTGCCCGTTGACCAGTACAGCCCTGGCGTAAACTCTAGCGTGTGTGGATGGGTGGTTTGGGTTTAACAGCGGTGTTGTGACCCGGTCAGAAAGGCTGTTAGTGGGGTGCCACGTGCCTTTCAATAACGTTCTCATGAAAAGGTTCAAAAACAACAAAGCCATTAGAGAAAACCTTTTAGCAGGGATTTCTGGAGGTTTTACTTTAAACTCTAATGACTGGCATCTCGCTCTTTAACTAATGTACACTGCCGAACAAAAGTTTTAGAACGCCCCAATTTTTCCAGTTTTTTATTGCAGTTTCAGTCATACAAGTCCAATGAATAGCCTGGAATGATACAAAGTTAAGCGGTGAACTGCCAGAGGTTAAAAAAGGTAAGGTTACTCAAAACTGAAAAATAATGAACATTTCAGAATTATACCAAAAGGTTTTTTTCAGGGAACACAGCTGTTCTGCAGCAATGGAGGTTGATCAAGCCTTGAAAGCTGGTGCTACTAATTCCCACAGATGTTCCAACTGTTCAGGACTACTTACAACCCCCTCTGTCTGCATAAAAGCAGTGTTGGAACATACTGTGGTGCCATACCCTCGTGAGCATCAGTTGAACAGCATTGTACTGCAGATTATAGTGTGTTGCTACCATGGAGCTGGCTTGGGATGAACTGGACAGAAGAGTGAAAGCAAAGCAACCTACAGGTGCCACACATTTATGGGAACTTCTGCAACAGATATGGAAGAACTTTCTGAAGAATATTTGATTTCTATTGTAGAAAGAATGCCACGAGTGTGTTCAGCTGTTATATCTGCCAAAGGTGGCTACTGTGATGAGTCAAAAGTTTAGAATACATTTTGGTCTTTGCTTATTTGTACTATGCTTTTATTTCAGAGTGCAATGTGACATGGGCTGCATGGTGGCGCAGTTTTTAGCACTGTTGCCTTGCAGCACGAAGGTTGCAGGTCCGAAACTCGGCTGTGGCCTTTCTGCCTGGAGTTGCGTTGTTCTCCCCATGCATGCGTGGGTTTCCTCCGGGCACTCCGGTTTCCCCCACAGATCACAACATGCCCTATAGGTTATGAATTGTAAGTCGCTTTGGATAAAAGCGTCTGTTAAATAAATAAAAACATAAACATTAAACTGCATCATTTTCAATAAAAACCTGGAAAAATATGGGGCGTTCTAAAACTTTTGGCCAGTAGTGTGTGTATGTGTGTATATATACACATACATAGCAGCAGTCTGAGGCTCTGCTTGTAATTTAACAGTTCCAGTCCATATTGGATCTCCACGGGCGACCAGCGTGACTACAGCCTCAACAGCGAGGTTGGGATACCTGTAGCTACATTTGTTCCAACCGTAACACCCTCACCCTCAGCTACACTTGTTTCCCCACTTTTGTATTGTCTGGGCGCCACGGGACGTGGTCAAAATGGCGGTGGTGGGAACCTCCCATTTGGAAACAAAACATTAAAATTGAAGCCTATGGACATGAACTGTCCAGTATATGTGTCGATGGTTTACCCCAGCGCTTTATAAGCCATGCTTGGCCCCCTGCAAGGTGTCTACCCCCCTCCCCCGTTGTTACAGATGACGCACGGTAGCAAAACGTTAGCGTACCCCCCCCCCCCCTCCCCACGCTCCGCCAGGGTATTTAAAAATCATGGGTATTTAAAAATATTTAAACTGTAATTTCCATCCATTACAGATTATTGATAAATATCTAAATGACAGAGGTTGCTTTTATTTTACAACTGAAATTTTCTATAAGCATATATCTCCTGTAGTTCAAAACCTTTATAGCGTGTGTGTGTATGATTTATTTATGTTAATACTAGAGCATTTATACTAGCATTTTTGCTAACAGCTTCTTGCGTTTGGATAAGCTGTTACGTTTCGGTTTGGTGTTCATATTTTTTGTGGCGTAGATCTCCCTTTTATTACATTTAGAGTGTTTTGGGTTTTCGGTTTAGTTTAAAATATCACCTTGAGTTTGGTTTAACCGCCCAGTTTAGAGTTTGGACCTTTGGCGGTCCTTATTTTGGTCCAGAACCCTGTAATCTTTGCCCAGTGGGACATCCCTACTTATTTGTACTTTTGTTTTAATTCCCTACAGGCAGAATTAGTTGTATTATTCCCAACCTGTGGATGGAACGATTTGTTTTTTTGTTGTTAAACAAGTAAATTTCTAAAAGTGTAATCCAAACAACTTTTAAACAGAACCCATCTCAGCTTAAAAAAAAAAACACTGTCACATGCC